CTGATGCGTGCGTATACCTGGCCAGGGATGAAGAACGACTGCATAGAGTATGTCCGCAGTTGTAAAGTATGCCAGTGAAACAAATCTGCTACATGCACGCCCCTAGGTCTTCTCAGACCCTTGCCTATTCCGGATCAGCSGGGAGACTCAGTGTCCATAGACTTCATGGACACGCAAGTCAAGAGCAGACATGGTAAGAGCCAAGTCATGGTCATAGTCAACCGTTTTAGTAAGTATGCAGTTTTTGTTCCTTTGCCTGCAGAGGCACGTACAGATTTAGTAATACCAAAGTTCTTTGACTTTTGGGTTAGTGAGAATGGAATCCCATTGTCAATAGTTAATGATAGAGATAGTCGTTTCACCAGCTAGAACTGGCAAGAACTCATGAGAGTCTACGGATCTAAGTTGTTAATGTCGTCCGACCGTCACCCAGAGACTAACGGTCAGACATAACATATGAACAAGATCCTACAGCAAGTTCTGCGCATGTATATTAGACCAGATCAGATCGACTAGGATGAGATGTTGCCCAAGGTCGCTAGTGCGTACAACAACAACGTGCATCTATCCACCTGCCGCACTCCCGATGAGTTGCACAAGTCCTTTAGACCGCGCAGACCGTTCGAAGGACTGAACTGTGATCAGATTCACAGATTACTGCCCGGTACCAGGGAGTTTGCGATACAACACGAAAAGGAGTTAGCCACTGTTGTTGAGAACCTTCGGAAGGCCCAGCACATAATGATAGAACAGGCTAACAAGCACCGACGCCCATCGCAGTTTCAAGTAGGCGACTTAGTCTGGGTCAAAGCAAAAGAGTTTGCACCGGAAGAAAACATCTCGCAGAAGTTACTGCCTGCATATAGAGGACCGTGGCCGGTTCTAGAAGTCAAGGGCGGAGAGGATGGACCGTCCTACAGCATTGAGATTCCAGCACACCTCCACACATACCCTCTGTTCCATGCTTCAAAGCTGCTGCCGTGTGTCACTAGTCAACAGTTCCCTTCCAGGAGATCCATGATCCCACCGGATATGGATGGGAGCTATGACATAGAGGGCATTGTAGAAGAGGATGTGTTTAGGACAGGAGGTAGAGGTCGTCCCCAGAAACAGTATAAAGTCCGGTTTGCCTATCAGGAACCGGAAGACGACCGCTGGTTCCCGAAAGCAGAACTTCTAGAGACTGCTCCCGACATAGTCAGAGCCTATGAGCGTGACAAGAAAGGTAAAGGTCCCGCCTTGGACTGAAATTTTCTCGGAGGACCTCGAATTTAGGACGGCAGGAGTGAAAAGGTTTTCACCTTTTAGCAGTAGCGGATGCAGTACCCAGGGTTCGATCCCTAGACCTCACCCTACCCATGTACAGTATCTGTGTAGACCCCGGGAATTGAACCTGTGACCAGTGTATTCGTAGGCAGTTGGTAGGCCTGTCGTAGGTCCATAGGCAGCAGGGGTTCGATCTGTAGGTCTATAGCGTAGGAGTCTTAGTGAGTTCCG